AATATTTCCTTTTAAGATTTGAAAATATATCTTAAATTTATTCTAACATAATCCTTGTCACATAAATATCTTTCCCATATCCTTTTTTCATGTGTGCTGGACACACACAGTCAGCCAGCAACAAATGCGAGGGCAAGGACATCCCTTTGGCAAAGGTGGCATCGGAAAAAAGGGGGCCTCCCAGTCACTTTCGTCACTCCTCGACGCATCCTGGAATGAATGGGGAATCCCCCTCATAATGAAACCAGCTAATATATCTTGTTGACGTTGCCGCCAAAGGCAGCAAAAAAGGAGGAAGCGACATTGGAGCACCAAAGCCCACAGTCCAGAGCCCAGAACCCAAAACCCGAAGTGGAAGCAGCAGAAGCAGAACAGACATGTCTATTTTGGACCTTATCGATTTTGTCGGGGCTCCGACCCTCAGTTTTCAAAGGGACGAAGGGCGGCCAAGGATGCGGGCGGTGGCTGCAGAGCAGGGAACGAGGGGGGTTTCTAAGGCTGAAGGACCCGGCTAAATGGGCCAACATTTAAATGCAACAATTGTCATTAAATTTTCATTGGACGCAGGCGAAAGGTTTGTGCCAAGAATCTCTTAAAGTTGCCAGGAATGTATGTAGAACATTTGGTTTTCTGTATAAACACAGAGGATTTGAATAAGATATATAATAATACATTACTAGGACTTAAATATTAATTATTAATTTATATTTACTAGAAGAAAATCAAAAGTAGAACTAAAGACTAAGCTAAACTTTGATTTCAACTTAAGTTTTGGATAAATTTCACTCATATCTCGTTCTAATAAGACACAAAATATTTATGTTAATTGGAAAATTTTAAAAATTTTGAAATAATATTTATGACAAGGGTAAAATGCGACCACTTTTGCCACAATTATTTGTCAAGAAATGTAAAAGGGCTCTTAATCAGCTTCGAGCATTTGCTTAACAGATTTTAAAATATGATTCACATAATTTATGAGTCTTTTTTGGAAATTCCTCAACCAATTCAAGAACTTCTCGACATCTGCTAAAGGCCAAAGATATCCCCCTTCGGGGCGGGACTTTGCCGATCCACGGATGATCTGCGCCCATGGAACATGTGGCTGCCACGAGCCAAGAATACATATACTTGGCATATATCGCAGCATGAGTGTTTTATGTTGCCACGCTTTATGAATTCCATTTTCATTAGGAGAGAATGCATCGCCACATAAATTTGCCATTAGGCATTCGAAATGATGATGGTTTTGGGGCCTGGTGGGTGTGTTAATTGCCATTGGCAGCCGCAAAAGTTGAGTTATGAAGAAAAGTTTGTGTTTCAGGGCGAAAAATCGATGGAAGGCACTTTAAAATGGACGCCCCAAACAAGGACACTCCGATGTGTATCCAGCAGATACACAAACGTTCTGTGTCTAAGTCTGTGTCCGTGTCTGCGACTGTGACTGTGACTGTCTATTTACCTAAGCGAAAAGGACTCCGGCCTTACTTCCCTCTTTGCACTACAATTTCTTAGTTTTCTTTCGATATATAGATTTTGTGCCACCCCGCAAGGAATTCCGTCTTTCCTTTATTTTTATTTTGTATTTCTTTTTGGCTCGTTTAAGTGTGTAAATGTTTTTCCCGCTCGAAAGGATACAATTCGTTGTCGGCTCCTTTTTGCCAGCCAGGAATTTGTTTATTTGTGCGAGTTTTCTTAGCTCTGCTGAGGCTGTTGACATTGGTTTCCAGTTTACAAAGAAATCGATTAAACGCAATTGGGTAAATGGCCCAGAGTGTGCCGGGGCCAAAAACCCCGCCCACCATCCCTGCCCGGCACAAGGTCAACTCTTAAATGCTTGCCAGCTTCGCTTTCGACTCGGGTTTTGTTTTGTCTCTGGCTTTTTTGGCTAAATTTAATTTGCCCCAAAAAGGGCGAACAAGGCTGTTGTGTATTTTCAATAAACTAAAGCAAGGCTATGAAGAATAAATATAAATAAAGGAGACCAAAAATATATTCTATATTTTCTGATAAATGCCGAAAGAAAAATACAGCTATAAAATAAATTGCTTAGATATACAGAAACTGAAATCAATTGACCAGAAAGCAGTTAAACGACTCACCTGCATATTTTCTTTAAAAATATAACTAAGGTAAGGTAAAAAAAATACAAAAATTCAGAATAATGGAAACCAAGTCTAGAAATAATATATTTCTAGCATATTTATTTCAGTAAAATAAAGGAAAATGTAAGGAACTAGAAAACCGCAAAGTACTGAAACCAACTGACCAGAAAGCAGAATTCAAATTTAAAATAAACCCTCGGGAAACCCTAACCTTAAGTAGGTATCGATTCCCCCGAAAAGTGTCATCGTTAACATAAATCACTCAGAAAACATATCAAAAACCCATTCAACCCACACGCAGACGAAATGGGGAACCTTTCGGTACACTGGCAAGTACTTAATTTTACGGCAAATGAGAAAAATAAAAATAAAGAACTTTTCCAGCTTTAATTTCAATTTCAATTTATTTTATTTCATTTCCCGCCACACACACGTGATATATAATATATTGAGAGGCCCGGCGAGCGATCTTGATCAACGAGCGACGTGCATTTCACATTTTATAGATTTTCTAGGGTTTCGAATTAGGACTGAACTTTGGGGCTGAGTGCCTAATGAGTCAGGCAATTAGACGTGACTACAAAATATTTATCTATTTACTGGTATTAATGGCCTAAAGGCATTACATGAACTGTGTGGGAATAAGAGTAAGTTGGAGTAAAATAAGTCAGGGAATGCTTAAATTCTTATATACTTATATTTCCAAAATTTGATTTGCATTCCTAATTATATTGTTTTTAATACCTTTTTTCTGATTAGAAAAGCTACTCTCCAGAGTCTCTAGTAAAATATTATTTCCCTTCAATTTTGTATGTTAAAAACGAATCTTCTCAGATCCCACCGACACATCTCCCATAACCTTTCCTAACCTTCTCACGTTCTCTTATCACAAATGGGACGAAAAAAAAAAATGAGGTAAGCCGAAAATTATAAAAGATGTTCCGATGGCCTCCTCGGACCTTGAGGGTCAAGCGTAGATTTGTAGTAATAATTTATTCAGAAATTTAATTATGTTTTTTGGTCGGGTAAAATTCTTTGATTTGCCTTACCTTTTCTCCGATTTTTCCGTATGTTTTCTTGAACGATTTTTATGATTGTGGAGACAAATCGGCGTCATCAAAAAATTGTTGTAGGAAAAACTAGTTTTCAAAATGATTTGCATAGAAATGCCACTTGCTGTCTCGCTCCGTTGCATTTATTGAGAGTGAGAGGAAGAAAGGGGTATACCGCCATGATTATTAGAAGATTTCGGGAGAAGAACGGGTTTGGTTTCGTTTCGTTTCTTCGGGGCATTCTTTTGTGATAAATGATATCGGTGTGTTTTTGGGGGAAACCTCATAGACTTTGTGTCTGCCATCTTTATATATACATATGTATATATTTTTTATTCAAGGGTATAAAATGAATTTGAATGTCCCTTTGAGTGCTAAAGCCGCGTACAGCCTGCTAATTCAACAAAAACCATAGTAGGGATCAAGGAAAGGGTTAGTTATTATTTGATATCATCATATAAAGTATATGGATCGGTGCGTAGGGATGTTCCTGGGGGTTGGGAAGAGCACACAATTTTGTTTGCCTTGCGTATGTCCTTTGTTTGATCTGATGCTCATTCCCTCTCACTTTGTTCTCATTTTACAATTCTAGGTTTTTTGAGTACCAACCATTTTGAATTATTTGTTGCCACCGAGTTGTTTTTTTTTTTAGTAATAAATAAGTGGCAGCTGTTAAATAACCCCTTGCCCGTTTTAATAAGGAAGGAGTTATACATACAAACACGAGTAATATGCAAATTTGAGTATTCAGATACATTATGTACGTTTGTGTTTACGTGAATAGATCCCTACAAGGCAGTCAATCGAAATGAATCCTACTATGATAAACGGCATAAGGATTATCTAAGAAATATCTTTGAAAGAAAAACACTTAAATTCTGATTATTTTATCACAAATTAATAAATAAATTAAATTTCTTAAATTTATCTATAAACTTTTAATAGTTAAAGTTCAATTTAAAACCTTATCTTACATTTAAAAAGTATAATTTATTCAATAATATACCAATTTAAAGTAAGTTTTGTTGTGTGAGCTTTATACAGGAAAAATGGTAATCTTTTAACAAATTAATGAACAAAAATTAGGAAAATTTAACATTTTCTTTATAAAATAATATAATTTTAAGAAATTAGCTATATGACAAAAACGTTCCCTGTGAAATTCCCGTCGGCAAAGTCTTTCCAGAGAAAAACCGAAAGCTAAATCCTGCTTCGAAAAAAAGGACATTCGCCGAGCAGAAGACAAGACGAAGCTGCAAAGTTAACATAAAAGAAATATGGATAAATAAAGGGAGCAGCGAAGAAGGCAGCACATAAAGGAAATATGATTGAGATTCACAGCCAACGAGGACGTCGAAAATAAGAGAAAAAAAAATATAAAAAGGAGGAGAGACGCGCGTCCTGCGTCGCCGTCGACGTTGCTCCGCCTAAAGTTGTCATAATTTGCTCTATATGCGTTTTTATTTATTTGCCGATCCGATGCGCGCATAAAAAACGAAGACGTTTCATTCGGTTTTTTCTCCCTTCTTTTTTTACGTCTCTTTTTTTGAGTTGGTTTCCCGGAGAGAGTGCCGCCGAGCGAGAGGGAGGAGCACAGCTATAGTGGTGCTAACCGGCCTAACAGCGGGATAACATTCGAAGTTCAGTCTTATACGGCATTTCCCCAGCTGTTAGCCGCTAACAGGGGCAGAGCGCGAGCGTGCGAGAGAGAAAGGTGGTGCGAGAGTGGAGCGGAGCGGAGAAGCTTTCGCTGCTGCGAATTTTGGCGGCGACTCCTGTTTTTTTAGTATAGAGCGCTGCAGTCTTTAGCTCCGACTAGCTCAGATACTCATTTGAGCTTGGAGACAGGACGTCGCTGCCGCTGCCTCTGCTCTTCTCTGCTCTGCCCGCGCGGGCGCCACTCGAGAAGCGCTAAGGACATTCCGACGCCGACGTCGTTCGCGTCCGCGCTCGCGTCGTGTTCGTTCGTGTTCGTGCTCGTGCGTTTCGGACTCGGACTCGGATTCGCACTCGAGCTGCAGCCTGAGATTGCGATTCCGATTCCGTTCTTGGCCGTGGTTCAGTCAGCAAGCGAAAGCGCCTTTTTCCCAGAACCCTGAATCCTGAAAGCGCTGAGCGCCTCACAAAAAAAGGAATAAACGCACACTCTGAAGGCAAGAAAAGGCAAAGAAGCAGCGGAAATTTGCAAATATTAACAGTTAACGGGACCGCAGTGCGTTTTTATTACCGCCGCCTCCGCCGTCGCTGCCTACGCATGTGTGTGTGCGAGTGCCTGTGTGTGCGTGCGAGGGGGCGGGGGCATGTGTGCGAGTGTGTTGGTGTGCGCGCGTGTTTAATTAATCATAAAATCTCCATCAAAATGCAAAGCCCGCAAAAGTAACTCGCAAAAAGCAGCAACAACGAGAGCGGGGGCGGGAGATAACAAGCGGGGGGAGGATAGAGAGAGAGAGACGGAGAGCGAAATGTGCAATAAACTCGATTTTTCTGGCATCTAAACTAAAAACTAACGGCTCGCTTTGCCGTCGGCATCCGTGAGATACTTTCCGAAGAAACAACAAGATGCAATAATGAAACAAGGATAGCGAAAGAGCAAAAAACCAAAACAAGCGACAGGAGAAAAGGCGCCAAAAAGGGTGAGAAAATAATTAATAATTTTTAACAGATTTCACACCTTTCAATTAAATATGCATATAAAAATGATTTAACTAACTTAAATAAAACATTTAATAAGATATACCACGAATATATGTTGTAGATAAGCATAACTAGTTTATAAAATCATTAGTTACCATATAAAAACATGTCATAATTTACACAATAATTCAAAGTAACATTAAAATATTTCATTTCTAATCGTAAATAGTTTGAATAAAGAATACATCAGGATCTGACTTATACATATTATTAATAATAGTTAGTTCATAATATTACGCTTTTTAACATCATAAACTTAAATTTGTGTATCAGAGAACATATAAGTATAAATTAAACCAATAGTTATTTATAAAAACACCTTTAAGATAGTACTTACTCTAAGAGAAATTAAAAAAATGGAACCCCTAATAATAAGAAATACCCAGATTACAATTTTCCCTTAAGATGTACTCTTAACTAAGTAATCATTATAATTAAAACAGAAATCCCATAACAGCCATAAAAATTGGGTAATTTGTTAAGTTACTGCGGAAATGGAATCGAAGTAATTTATTTTCCGAAGAAAAATTGAGGACAAAGTCTTGTATAATTTATTCGTTTTGTTTCTGTAAGAAGAGTGACAGGTTTCAACCCCTTCATATATAGTACCAAGCTCCTTCCTGTGGTTTTATTCTCTTCGATTGGTAATATGTCCAGCCAAGTGTAAGGACACTTTAATTTAATGTTTTACTCAGCAAAACATACAAAATGGTAGTTGTAACCCTTGTATTACTTTCAATTTAATCATACTTTTCTTTTTAATTTGTTGTTTATTAATGTTGCTATAGGGCGTTCAGGAAATGTTTTTTATCCCCTAAAATGTCAGACATGTTTAAAGACCGAACTATGTAAGAATCTCCTAAAGGACTTCAAATATGTATCGCAATTGAAGTTATTAAATTTAAACTGAAAATGTATTGTTTTAGTAACATTTTAGAAAGATAAAATATATATTTAAATTGAAAATTTTCTTTATAAAGACGGACTTAGTTAAGCTTTAATATATTTTTATATCAATCTATTTTAATTAAATCAATTTTTTATAATTTAAAATCATCATTGAATTTGAATTCTTAGCTTTCTCTTTATTGTTTATTGATTAACTTGAGCTCTATATACATACATATATACATACATAACACATCCTGATGGCTGTTGACTCTTCTCGGCACACAGAGACCCCTCCATGAGAGCTTTGATATATGGTGCTTAGCCTGCGAGTAACCTACAAATTGGGGAATACATATTGCACAAGATCCCAAATAGAGCCTCGGGCTACTTGGCCGTTCTACAGCCCCCGAGACCCCGCCCATCTCTTGCCCTTGTTGTCGGGCTCGCCTCTTGCGAGATTATTTAACTTTGACACTTTATGCGAGGACATGCAACTGCAACGGAGCAGCCCGAAAGTTGCATGTTGGGCTTATGTCAAAGTTAACATAAATACAACTACTTTGTGCCCCAAAGGTGGCTGTCGAGGGGCGGGTCAAGGGGCTGCGACATGGGCGTAAGGTCGCTGGCTGCTCGGAAATGCCCAATGTTCGAGGAGTTTGTGCCGTAGGATATGACACGGGATACAAGCATCTAGGGGAGTGCAACGACAACAAGACGAACAATATCCCAAGCCAAAGAAACAACAACGCATGTCAAGAACGAAATTAACATGGCAACGGGGGGAGAGTGGTAGTGGGAGATGCTGACCATCCTAAGGTTAAACGAAAAGATGACAGGTGTCAAGTCAGTGTGTCAAAGATACCGAGTATCTGACAGATGCACCGCAGAACGGGATAATAGCAAAGCCATATAGAAAGAGGCGGGGAAATGGCAAACAGTTCAATCAAGTCACAATTGATGCAACTCATGCCCGGCATAAATAATTCTCAATCAGGCACATACTTGAAGATACAAAGATACATAACCAGAAGCTGAGGAAATGCTACTCAGCCCCCTATCCCGTCCATTTATATTGTTTTATTGTCTTAATTAATTTATGAGTTGCGCGATTTCATTTCTATCTGGCTGCGTATTATTTTTTCGCTGTTCGTTGGCTTTGCCATAAATTCATTTGTAAAAATTCGAAGCGCTCCTCGTGTACATAGTACGCCAGTCAGTCTATTTCTCATTTCGACTTTTCACTCCCCTCGCAGCCGTAGCCAACGAGGTCCCTATTATATTTGATATAAAGTTTATTTTCATTTTAATAATAAATACGCTAGCGTAAAGCTCGCGAGTCAAGGGACACCGGACGGATGAAATATTTATTTTGTGTTATGACAGAAATGTGCGGCCATAGTCGTCGCTATGTGTGCATATAAAAATGTATCTATCTATCTGCGCGCCCATCTGCCTCTGCCGTCCCCTGTTTCAATAGTTCATGGCATATTTTGTAGCGAATATTTGGCGAAAATGTTTTTATTATTCGCAGCGTGATGCCGTAATGTGGGCCATTGAAGCTGACACACAGCTCGTCCGCACATGCAGCTATCCGTCTATATATCAATCCATCTGCAGCCCCAATTCTGGTCGATTTGGGCCTTCAAATATCATTGCATTTCTGCATTTACGAATTTCATTTCATTCCGTTTTGCTAATTCAATAAACCGCATAAATTGAATTTTTATTGCTCATTCACAGCGCGAATTTATTAGTTGGATTCCATTCTGGTCTGGTTAGAACCAGCCTCGATTTTGAGTTGCCTTTTTATGGCTTTCTGTCGAGGCAATAAACCAAATTCAATTCATATTCATCAAAAAGCAAATTACGGAACTGAAAAACGCAAAATTCGACTGAATTAATAACGACATTCATTTACTAAAATATATTTAATGGCGACTCTACATGGCTGTTTCTGTGGAATGACTAATTAAAGGGAAAATAAACTTGAGATTGGTTATTTTGAATTTTAGAATCAATAAATACGGAAATTCAATACGATAAAAGGTTTTGCAATTTGAACAAATTAATTCTATTATAAAACAATACCAAAAATAGTTTTGCCTTTCCATTCCATTAATAAATTTATTTAATTAACAAATTAATTTTAGAAACTAATTGATCTTGATTGGTTTAATGTTAAATAAATACTTTGAATTAGAAGGAAATTGTAGTGCCTAATTGATTTTGTTGAATAATCATTAACTAAGATACATTTTGTATGGTTTCTAATTTTAAAACAAGGCATCCAATTAATTAGAATTGTTACATTTTAATTTTAATTTAATGTTTTTATTTTATATTGTCGTGGATAATTGTTGTCATGTTTAGGGACTTAATTTTTACACAAAATGCTTTGTATTTTATAATTTTTCTTTCTTTATAGTCTCTTGAATTAATAAATACCATAGTTAATTGCGGGTCACAAAATTTATTTTTAAAGAAATTCGAGTTCCTGACTTTTATCCCTTTCTCAGTGTCCCTAGTTTATAAGATTAACAATTTACCTTAGATATAGACGCAATAATATCACAAAGTCACAAAGCTCTTGAGTTCTCCATTCCCTGTCAAGATTCAAATTCAAAATTGAGTTACCAAATTTCAGTGCCAAATAATAGCCAGAAAAGGAAGCGAAACAAAGAAGACGAGGAACAGGTAGAGGTAGCTACTTGAATGCAATTATTTCCTTCGTTTATGAGTAATTAAAACGGAACGAGAGCGAGGCGAGGCGAGGATTGGCAAAATATCAAAAATGGCCATCATTGTATTGTCTGTGAGGGCGCTGAGGAGGGGGAGTGGGGCGATAAACAAGTGTCTGACCAGATATACACACACGTGTCTCTGTGTGTGTGTGAGCAAGTGGCCCCGGTACTTTGCATAGATTGTCCACTTTAGATTAAGCCATGAATAATTTATGTGCGTCTCTTATGATTTTAATTGTTTGCAATGGCAGCTCAACAACTCCACCGAGCCACCGAGCAACCCTCTCGGACCCCAGCCCTTCCTTATACTCCTTTCAAAGCTGAAGAAAGGGCAGGGCATGAAGGCGAACGAGCGAAAGCGGAGGCAAAAACAAAGTAGCGCCCCAAAAGCAAATGCAAAACAATACAAATTCATCTACACAAGCCTCGAGACTGGACTTTCCTGGCTGAAGTGCTTCTGTGTGTGTGTTTGTGGAGTATCTGTGTGAGCCGCGTATCTGTGTATCTGGCATTGGTCTGCTTATGCTTCTGCCTCTGAATCGGCCTTCTTCCCAGGCCATTCATTCATTTCAGTCCCCTCAGCAGCAGACATTTACATTTCCCCACACAGTTGCAAACAGGGATATATATGTATATATATGTATATTGTAGAGGTGTGTGTGGCGCTTAACCCTCGAGTGCCGGCACCCCGCTGGCTCAACTGGTTGACCGTCATTGTCGTAGTCGTCGTCGTCTGGCATCGTTCCATTTCGCTTCTTTCTCAAAAATTATATGAAAATTATACCAATTCAACTCATAAAATTTTTTCAGCTTAATAAATTTGCAGACATTTTGTAAGGGACCTGGGAGCTGGGAACTGGGAACTTGGAACAGGGTTCATTGTCGTCATTGGTCTCTGCGCTCTCATGCAAAATGGTCAATTCCGAAGTGGCTTTAAGCCCATTCCCTCGCCTGCCTTCTTCTGGTTTTATATATACACACACGAGTACATTGTACATCGGGGGAGCGTTAACCAAACGCAGTTGCCTCGCTTAAACGAAGCTCATAAATTTGCCTCAAACAATTTCCACTTTTTTTTTTGTTCGTCCAGCCACTTTAACCGTTTTCATTTCCCATATTTTCCTTGGCTTTTTTTTTTGGGGAAGTCAATTCGGTAGTAGGAGGTGGGAAAAAGCGTGGGTTTCACTTTGTTTGGGGGTTTTTTTTTTCTATAAGCATAAGTCAGGTGGAACTCGAATAGCAATAAATCAGACAATCCTTTGGCATGAATCATGCTTCTAAAGGTCTTTTACATCACTACAGGAAGTTATTTATTTATAAAAATAAAAATCCTCAAAAATACTTTGGGGTTACATACCCACAAATAGCTTAATTAGAGAATAACCCACCCAGCTTATGTTATTATATTCCTAATTTGTAGCATATCTCAAAAAGTCATCACTTAAAAAACCTAAAACTCTTGCAATTCATTAAAAATCTGACAGATCCGTCAGTCTGTCAGAAATGGCGCTAGCTACCCCAAAAATCGACCCAATAAAGTGATATCCGTCCGTGGACTGTCAGTCTTTCGTTTGCGATCGACGGTTGAAACAACAGACTTCAATCAAGATCTTACCTCCCATTTTCCATCCAATTTCCATGCCGCCCGCCATAAACTGGCAAGTGTCTGTTTACGTTGGCTCCGGGTTCATTCATTCAATGGCTCCCAAAACAGAGCCCCGGATATTTCTGTGTGTGTCTATCAATCAATCAAGCGAATTGCAATGAATTTTGATCAATATCCGCTGCAGACGCTCGGGAGGGAAAAAACAGCAATATGTTTGCTACTTATAGCTAGCCATAATTCACGATTTGGCCGAATGATTGACGCCGTGTGTGTGTGTTGATTTCGAACTTTACTTTCGGAGAGATCCCAAGATTTAGAGTTCCTCCGACAGGGACCACCTGCTGGCAGGAAACTTTGGCTATTTTCCTAGGGCTACAGTGACAAAGGAAATGAAAGCTTGAAACTTTTCTGACGGAAACCCACCGCAGCCTAGGGAACTCCGAGGGAACTTCTTAAAGCTCCGGCGAGGCAATTGCGGAAGTTTTATGTTTTTGGCTGTGCGTAAATCGCTCAAGAAATCAGCTCAAGTGGAATAAGTTGTGGCTGCTCACTTTAGCCTCGGTTAACACTTTCGCCCCAAGGCCTCGCCTCGCCTCGACTTCATTTCGGGGGTTAACTCCACACCAAAAAACATTGATTTCGGATGAGTCCATCGCCATTGATGGAAATAGTAGTGGGCTCGATATGTGCGCGCCGCCGATGATTTCGGATTTGGATTTGGGTTTCGAGTGCGCCACCTCCAATCGATATCCGTGCATGGATACAATGGAATCCGTATCTGTATCTGTAGCGGTATCTGCATCTGTGCCCGGCCAGTGTGTTTACCTTTGCCAATAAATTCACTTAATTGCCGGGAAATAATCATAAAGCAATCGGCCGTAATGCGGATGGGATACGATATCCACACTCTTCGGGTAGAATTTGTGGCCCTGTTGAAAGTGTAACTCAGAAATGGTGTGGAATTATGTTGAAATCGATTTTCTAGGAAATTTATGCGAAGCATACGTCGGAACCTTTAGTTTGGGACTTAAATTAAGCAATACAGTGCCCCGAGTAGGCCATCCATTCAACGCCACGTGTTAGAAATGCTTCCAAATTCATAGTAAAATTGTATACCAGAGTTGGATCTATCATGCCATTCTCCACGAAGTTTTTAGGCAGCTGGAGCTACTTGGGTGTCCGCTGCGTGCTTTTCCTCGCAGGACGACAGTTCTACAGGCGGCATCCATCCAATACGCGAGTGGTCATGGATTTTCCCACTTTCGCCCAGCTGTGCTCGTGCTTTAACTTGGGAAAATAGATCTGAAAGCACAGGGTTGTTATATCGGGCCAATAAATGAGGTATAATAAAGTCCTTATTAAGCGACTGCGATGTGTGCTTTTTTATCCCGATTTTCCACGGTATGGTCTCACTGTATATTTTTAACTTATTATATAATTATCTTTTGGGGAATTTGAGGATTTCAGGATGCTCTTTACACTTTTCACTTTGTAGATTACTCTTTTGCATGAAAGTATCTTTCGATATCGTTGTTCCGATTAAGAATGCAGGTTTAGTTTAGTTAAGTGGCCGCTGTTGGTCTGATTTCGACAGTGGTTATATAGCCTGGAGTCGTCAATATCTGCCGACGTCAAGTAAATTAGCTAGAGCCGGAATAATTCGATCGATTGGAGGCACAAATCCAACCGGGGAATGAGGAGTATGGGTGGACTCAAAGTTATGCTGAGTGATTCCGTGTAATACATCAATAAATTACCCACTCTTACGGCAATGGGGCTCATGCAAAACTCTTCGGGGTTCCTACAGCCGTGTCGGGATTCTACTCCAAACCCTCACCCAAGTCCGAAATATCCAAATTTCCCACTCCAGCCCGCACGCGGCCAATCCAGATCAGAGGCTACTATTTTAAGTTATACGCGGACTAACCATATGCGCCCTGTTCATTTATTCAACGTCTAAAATTGCGACACGCCGCTATTCATATATTCAAAAATTTATCATAAAGTCTGACCGGCCGCTCCTTACGTGACGATCCGGCCATATGCATATATCATGGAAAATTACACTGCGCAACTCTGAATTTATACGAGGATAATTTGGCACAGTTCTGGAGCCCAAGAAAAGTATACGAAAGTAAAAGCAAAACCAGAACCTATTTATTTATGCATAGAATATAAACCTCTGTAATTTAAGCTCGTATATAATTACCTTCCAGACTAGCTTTTTAAGTCAGGATCCCCTCACTGGAACACCTTTGTTGGACAGTGTGTCTTACAGTCCAGGAAAATGGGGAAAAATTCACGTAACTAACGAAAACTTTCCCAATATCTTCTCCCCTTTCGTTGCCAGGGTGCAGTCCATGCGCAGACTTCAGCGGCAATCGGGATCAGGAGGTGAGCGCTTCCGATCGAGGGGATAATGTGTTCAATATTTCGCAACCGCATCAATTACCGTGGGACTGGCGGCACCAGGAGCGGCAGCGGGGAGCGGGACAGGGATCGAGAGAGGGATCGGGATCGGGACAGAGACCGAGACAGGGACAGGGACACCCTGCTGGCCAAGGAGCTGGATGCGGATAGCAACAACAATGGCACCGAGCCGCAGGTGGAACCGGAAGTGGAAGCGGCTCCTGACTGCTCCGACACGGAACGGGAGGCGGAGCAGGAACAGGAGCTGGACAACAGCAATGAGGCGCTCGATCTCTCGGTGATCTCGGCCAGCGGTCGGGGATCTCTGCCGGGCAGTGGTCACGTCTCGCTGGAGGCTTTACAACATACCAAAGTGGCGGTGGCCCAGTTCGCGGCCTCAGCGCTGTCCGGAGGAGGTGGAGGTAGCCACCAGTCCGCCGACCTGGCCATGGTGCAGTCCACCATCTTCAATGTGCAGCGGCAGCATCTGATGCAGCTGCAGCTCATCCAACACCTGCAGAGTCAATTGAAAAGGGCCGAGGCCGTAGCCCTGGGCAGGCAAGCCCAGAGCGACGAAGAGGAGGAAGAAGCGGAGACGGAACCAGAGCCGGAGCCCAAGGAGGAGCCAGCCAATGGCCTGAAGGAGGAGGCACAGGAGCTGGAGCAGGACGAGGAACAGGAACAGGAGCGCGAACGGGAACGGGAGCTGGAGGAGAGTTCAAAGACTGACAAGGCGACGACTGAGGAGAGAAAAGTGCAGGCGGAGATTGAGGGCTCGGACTACCAGCCAATGATGTGCGACATCAGTTCGAGCCTGGCCTCGAGCATCATCACCAACCACGATCCCCCGCCGGCTCCCAACGAGCCCAACTGCCTGGAGATGCTGCAGCGGCGCACGGAGGAGGTCCTTGACTCCGCCTCCCAGAGCCTGCACGCTGCCCAGCTGCAGGAGGAGTACTCGGAGTACGCCTCCAAGGAGGCCCAGAGCCGGGGCGAGATATTCAAGCATCGCTGCAAGTACTGTGGCAAGATCTTCGGCAGCTACTCTGCCCTCCAGATCCACCTGCGCTCGCACACCGGGGAGCGGCCTTTCCACTGCAACGTCTGCGGCAGCAAGTTCACCACCAAGGGCAACCTGAAGGTCCACTACCAACGGCACACGCAGATTTTCCCGCCCATGCTGCTGCCCCCAGGGGTGGCGCCCAATGTGGGGCACCCGTCCGGACAGGGACAGGGTCAGAGTCAGGGTCAAGTCCAAGCCGAGCAGTTCCCTATGCGCCTGCCCTTTGTGCCGCCTGCGATTCCGGCGAGCCAGGAGCAGGTGCACCAGCAGACAGAAGAGCAGGAGGAGATCAAGTCGGAAATACCAGCCCTCCAGGCCGAAGATCTCAGCAAGCCGGCGGTGAAGGAAAAGGAGAAGGCGCAGGAGAAGGCGCACTCGCCTGTCGAGCGTGCCAAGACTCCCAAAGAGGTGACACCCGAGCTGAAGTCCCGACCACCACCCATACCGGCTGAACCGTCACCCGAGAAGGCCGAGAAAGAAGCTCCTCCCAAGCCCACAATGACCCCATCTCGCAGAAACGGCTCCATACGCAAGCGACAAACAAGCAGCGCTGGAAGCCCACCACAGGAGGATAGGGAAAGGGATCTTGCCGAACACCTGCACATAGCCAAGCTGGTGAGGCGCTCCTCCTCTAGTCGAGAGTCCCAGCAGCCGGCCGAGTACTCGCTCGCCCAGATGGAGCGCATCATCGACAAGTCCTGGGAGGACCTCATCGAGATCGACAAGACCTCAGAGACCTCGAAGCTGCAGCAGCTGGTGGACAACATTGAGAACAAGCTGACCGATCCCAATCAGTGCATCTTCTGTCAAAAGGTCATGTCGTGCCGCAGCTCTCTGCAGATGCACATCCGCACCCACACCGGCGAGCGACCCTTCCGCTGCAAGATCTGCGGCCGGGCCTTTGCCACCAAGGGCAATCTCAAGGCCCACATGAGCATACACAAGATCAAGCCGCCGATGAGGAGCCAGTTCAAGTGCCCCGTGTGCCACCAGAAGTTCTCCAACGGGATCATCCTGCAGCAGCACATTCGCATCCACACCATGGACGATGGCAGCGGTGGTCAGGGAGGTGCTCCCCCAAATCCCGGAGAGGCTGAACGGCTAGGCATTGAAGATCAAAACTCGAACAAGTCCATGGGCACTTCGGATACCCTGGACTTCTCCACCACCATTTCGGATCATTCGGGTCAGAGGTCTGAGTCTTCGCAGGGCGGTGACTTTGACGAGTTCATGACCATGGACAGTACCGACGACTCCAGGGATAATTCGAGTGCGGCAACAGCCACGCCACATCCTCTGGAGAGGGATAGGGATAGGGACCGGGACAGAGACCGAGACCGGGAGCGAAGGCCACCCAACGATGGCTCCGATGAGAGATCCCACTCCAACCCCGACCTGGCCGGTGGCCGATCTGAGAACGGTGAGATGCCTGCAATGGATCTGTCCTCGCCGTCGTCAGCCTCTGGTCGCATTTTCGGCGCTGGAATGGTCAACGGAGGAGCCGGTGGAGGATCAGGAATGCCCATGCTCGGAATGCCCATGCCCCCAAACCTACTGCTCATGGCGGCTGCCCGCGAGGAAATGCACGCCTTGGGCCACGCCCATGCCAAGTTCCCGCTGCTGCCCTTTGGTCCCCTCGGATTTATGGGTGAGTTACACAAAATTAAATATATAAGCAGTAGATACTCCTGCTTCAAGAAACATTTAATTAGGAACAGAATTAAGTAATTTCAAACTGATTTATTTATGTATTAAAGTCGAGAGATTTATATAAATAAACCCAAACAGAGGAGAATATATACGTGACATTAACTTTGCTGTGCGTCTGCGGATGCGAGATGACAAAGTCCCTTTGTCTGCCACCTTTGACCCCGTCAGCGTTTGCCACTCCGCCGGCAGTGGCAGCGCGATAAATCTGCGATCTGGCCGCGACATAACTCAATTGGACCGGGACAAAGCACTCGGAGAGCACTTCTCTTTCGGCGCACTACGCCCAGCTCCATTCCCCAGTCCTATGCCAAATTCCGCAATTTATTTATAAACATTTGGCGCATTCCCGAATCGAGGCGCAGAGCAGTCGCGATCGAGCAGCGATCTGTCGCCTCATTATGTCACAACCTCTTGCGCGGATGGATATTTATTATATCTCCGATCGCTGCCAGCACGTGGCGGAAATTATGTGTCCCCCAGTTGACCTCCCGAGTAACTCTTTGTCTGCGTACCGCCTCTTCTTCATCCGCAGGCCTGCACCCGCCCCCCAATGTGTGCAATCTCTGCTTCAAGATGCTGCCCAGCCTGGCTGCCTTGGAGAGTCATCTGCAGAGCGAACATGCCAAAGAACCGGCCTCGGGCCACGCCCACCGCCCCCACTGCAACGAAGCTGGATCACCGTACGGTGCCAAGGTGAGTGTTAAAGATTAACTAAGGGTTAGTAGTAAGGGTTACCTTTGAGATCTGAAGTTCTCTTTAAGATTAACAAATCTAATAATATTAAACTATTCAAGTCACCCCACTCCCTAGCTCATCTCCACTTGCCCCATTCTAGAACATTTCCCTTTCAACCACTAATCACCTCCATATAGTTCCCTCTTTCGCCGCATTCCCTGCCCCAAATATGGTGGCACTTACATCACATCCACCTAGCCTAATCCCAGCTCAACTCTCGCTCTGAGAACTAATGCCATCTGGCGCGGAGTGAGACTGAATCAACTGAGTCGACTTCATCGGCCCTGCCTTGGTCATGATTAATTAAAATGTTCACGGGTTCAGCCAGCTCCTGGGGCCGGCTTGATTTGGCCAAATATGGGATGGAGCTTGGCCCGTTTGTGGCCGCGACCATACAAATTATGAGCACATTATTAATTGCCCGGCGTGTTCGCCTTATTATGAAGAAATTGTGGCCAACTTGCATAGTTTGCCTTAATTGTTGGCGTTCCGCTTTGCGGCCTCCCAACTCTCCCAACTTGGCCGGGAGCTGGAAACCCGACCTCTGGCTTCCAGACTCCCCTTTCCCCCCCAGGTTCATCCAGAGCTAGTGGAGAGAGCTTTAAGTGCCCCGGATTACATCGCCCAACAATGCCAATTATTTATTAAAGTGCGTTCGCTGTTCGCTAGAATGGATAGAGGGAAAGAGGGGTGCGGCTGGGGCTGCTGGCTGCCCATAATTTAAGTACAAATGCGAGTATTAATATTATTTCTAGACGGGGCCGGCACTGCGGCATTGTCTCTCTATGACTAATGACATCGTTCATTATGGCTAACATTCTTGGAGAATTTCCAAAATTGAAAGTGAGTGCCTCGGTCCAGGGACAGAATTAGGGGAGTTTGCCAAATAGGCGACTAGACTAGCTTTTCTGAAATTATTATGCAAATAAAAATATTAAATAAGAATAGGGGTTTTGTGTAATTTTGTTTAAAACTTTTTTCTGCCTTTAGATAAATTTTTAGGGACTTAAAAGGCTTTGATTTGTGTGTCTTAGAGTCTTTTTAATAGTGGTTACTTCCCATCAGTGTAGGCCTTATTTCTTTTAGCTTCATACATTTTGTCAGCCCCAGCTCCCTTCTCAACCGCCCCTGTTCTGGCCTTCTGCATTGTGGTCGAAATGAGAATGCAGTGTAAATGTCATAACATTTTTAGTTGGTAATCAGCAAGTGCCTCCGGATTCCCTCCGCCCTTTCCCTTATGGCAATGCCAGACAGCTCTTGTTCTTTCTTCACTTCGGGACTCTGGATGATGAGGACCAGCCACGTTCCGTTTTGCTCGCTTAGCACATTGTTGATGATCTAGAGCAGACGAACATCGGATCGGGTTGGGAGGTAGGGGATAGTAGTGGTGCTAGGACATATGATGGGGTTTCAGTTTCGAGTTGGAGGCTGGGAATCGGCATCATCTTTTGGGCTTGAAATTTCTAAATGATTCAAAAATCTTAAGTAATTACGAGAATGCATTATGATGATGCGAAATTTACGACTCCGTCTGGTATGCCCTGGCCCCTGGATCGCGGATAAGTCTAGGGAGAGTCTGTCGAGGGGATCAGGAGGGGCAGAAGGGAAGAGATATAGAAGGCCTGTGTGCCGGATCGGTGGCGGTGTGTGCGATGCATTCAATGCAAATAAATTATGCTACGCTTTATGCAAAATTATTTAATCTTTTGTTCGTCGCGTCTGCTGGGGACACAGCTGGGGGGACGCTGCGCGGCATGCATGTAGTTCCCTCTGCCGACTCTCCGCCGAGCAATTGTTTTGCCATAAAAATATGAGACCCGGCGGCATCGTCTGCGCGAGATAATTAGTTGCCATTATTACACGCGATGGCATAGAATAATTGTGAATTATGTTTCGCTCTCTCTCGATCCCAGCGAAAATAAGACCGTCAAGGGGCGCGAGTCTGAGGCAGCGGGATTAACGGCACATTTAACCGAAAATGTACAGAAATTAGCGCCCGTCGCGAAAGCATCTCGCCCTGTAACTTTGTATCTCATCTCGCCATTGCAGCTCACTCTCAACCCAAATCTGTTTGCAAAGAAGCCGCCTCCGACGGGCGACAAGCTGCCGCCGGAATCGTCACCCCGGCCGATGTCACACAGCTCGGAAGCCCCTTCCGCGGCGACACCGGTCAAGGAGGAGCAGCCCGATCAGGATAATCTGGCGCTTGAGGAGGGGGCATCATCAGCCTGTGAAGGATCTGCTCCAGGTACTGGTGCTGGTGCCTCCAACTACCCGCAGGAAACCGGCGATGCCGAGCAGTCGCTGATGAAGATGCAGCTCCGTAAGTGATACATCCCTTTTCCCCTGTGAATTTCCCTGATTGTCCTCCCATTAGATGCCCATCGCTTCCCGGCCAGTCCCCTTGACTTTCAGCAGGCTCTGATGTCCGCCGGTCCGCCGAGCTCCAGCCTGGATCCGCCGGTGAACAATAAGCACTTTTGCCACGTCTGCCGGCGGAACTTTAGCTCCAGTTCCGCCCTCCAGATTCACATGCGAACCCACACGGGCGACAAGCCCTTCCAGTGCAATGTCTGCCAGAAGGCCTTCACCACCAAGGGGAATCTTAAGGTGCGGATAGAAAGAGTCCCTGTTGGTTTTCGGACTTATTAATCTGATTGCCCCTCGACATGTCTTGTTATTGCTCTCACTCAGGTACACATGGGCACGCACATGTGGACGAACCCCACTTCGCGGCGAGGTCGTCGGATGTCCTTGGAGCTGCCCATGCGTCCTGGCCCGAACCAGGGCGCTGGACATCCAGGAACTAGTGCCGAGCAAGAGTTTATGCAGCGAAGACCGGAGCTCTTTTTTCCCTACCTGCCGCCTTTTTTTAACGGACTGCCGCCAAAGGTGAGCACTAACTTAGGGTTCTTGGGAATATATAAACAAATGTATATCTTAAAAATATTAAAATAATTATCTTTAATGATTTTCGTATTATTTAATTAATTTTTCTATAAAATGGTAACCTCTTTGACCCTTCGTAATCCCGACTTCTTTTCATTCTCATTTTAGCCTGGTGAACTGAGTCCCGGCGCCTTTCCCAACATCCCTCCGCCGCCTTTTGCCAACGGAGGGAAGTATCCCTATCCACCCGGACTTCTCGGTTTCCCGGGCTTTCTGGGACAGCATCCGTACGGCATGGATCGGAGGAGTAGCAGCAAGTCACCCACTCCAGAGCCGGCCCAGAGTCCTTCGCTGAGGGAGGACGACATGGGGGGCGGCAGCATTTGGCATCCGCTGAGCAGGATCAAGGTGGAGGGTAACCAGGGCGATGCCCTGCTCCACGAGCAGGATGACCAGGCGGAGGCCGAGACAGAGGTCGCCGGGGGCGGAGACATGGAAGAGTCGGAGTCGAGAGATGCCGAGAAGTAACTGAGAGAGAAAGAGAGGCAGTCTTAGATCGAGTCTTAGTCTTGGAACACACATGGTTTTTGTGGAGTACATATCTTGAGCATTACCCTACGCTAAGCTTCAACTAGCACTGAGACACACTCAACGCGAACACGAATCCTCACACACACACACATATATACGAATATATCCTTTGTGTCTATACATATATATATATAAAATAGTACGTTAATTGATAGCGATCTTCAAGGCATTTAAATGCATTAAGTCTAGCCGGTAAGTTGTAAAAATAGCGGATCGAGAAGAGATCTTGGCCGGGGGCTCCTCCTCGACGTCGGATCAGGCGGGCTGCAAGGTCAGAACTTAACTAATTTTATGGCTATACTTAGATAATATACTAAAATACATATACAGATAAACATACACGTAATGTAATGAAATTAAAAACCGATAAAAAACAACCGCGACAAAAATGATCAAAAATAAAGCCGGCGTGCAAAATTGCAAAGAAAAAAATGTGACTTGTGACTCTTGACATTGCTCTTCCGGGAAGTGGGCAGCATTCCATTCGGATCGGATCGGATCGGGGGATCCCCTGCACCACAATGGATTCAATAAATTCATGCAAATTGGCAGCTTCGGTAAGTGCGTCGTCGTCTCCTTCGATCGGGCCACATGCCACGCGCAGGCCATTCATCATCCCATTCCCTCCGGGCAGAGAACGCCCTCGCCTCGCCCCAAGATCTGCCCCAGAAGTATCACATCCCCATCCCAGCAGATGTTCGCCTTTTGATTCATTTACCCAGACGAATTTTGGGCGAAGTGTCTCCTTGTCTCGCATCTCGCGTTGTCGCCGAACTTTTAATTATTCCCTTGTCATTTTTGGCGGTGCCAGTGCCCAATCTCCTCTAGCGGCGACAAAGACAATGCAGCAAATAATAATTTCTAGACCGCAACAACTTGATGTCGCCGCGAATTATAAATGTTGGCCGAATATGACAGGCGTTGTCTGCCAGAAAAACAAAAGACTTTCGACCCAGTCCACTCGGACACGGATATCTCAGTTGCGGCTGTAATCCCACAAAGATATATTTTCTGGGTCCACCAACTACGACGAAATATTAAAATATATAGGAGATTAATGTAAGAGCAAGATATTTCTTCTCTCTAGTAATTTATTTTGTTTAAATTAAATTGTAAAGAATCTTTCAAGACAGAAAAGAAGCACCTTTTAATTTACACTAATTATTAAGAAGGAACTCTGTTGTTAGTTCCTCCTTTTTCAAGGATCTTATGAAGGCAAGTTCCTCACCTTTCATTCCCCTCCAGAAGTCACTGCAAATGCTGGCTATCAACTTGCACATAAACACCTCTAAAACATTGCAACCCTCTCTAGTGGCATGTGGCATTGCTGGCAATTCCATTTCGCATTTTCCATTTTCCACAATGTTGCGCTTTTCCCGAGAAATTTAGCTCATTTCATGGACGCACATATTTCATATGCGGCCGTAAAGTGTCTTGTCTTGAAAGGGGTGAAAAAAGTCCGGGACTATTAACACAGCCCCGCGGCTGGAGCCATTAACTCCGCGATGCAGTCGACGGCGGTGGCTAACGAATCCGGCCTCCTGCATCGAAATGAGCGATGAGAAATTGTGCCATGTCTGTGTCGCGATTTCAAGATCACGCCGATGCGCAGACATAATTTTCACGATCATAATTCCGCCAGTTGGCAGCCGTCCGTCGGGCAACTTAATAACCTCATTTCACTCTCTGGCCCTGTTCTATCCCCTGGCTGCATTATATTTATTTTGCGTGCAATTTGTTTGATCTGTGCGCGTAATTAACTCTGTCTGCAGGCGACGCGTCGTCCGAAAATGGTCTTTGAATAATAAGCCAGCCCCAGCCTGGGCAGGAATTATGATTTTTGTTTGATGGCCACCGAGGGAGAGAGAGTGAGGCTGGCATACCGTGGCGAACTTTGAAGTGTGTCTAATTGGGCGCCGCTTTAAAGAGTGGAGATTCGGGGAGTGAAAGCTTTAGAATCATGTTTATAAATTCCTTTCAAGGATCAGCAACCCTCTTTAATTGGGCGCCTCAAGGTGAGATAGTTGGGCGGTGTGTAACCACCGTTAGTCTCCGGAAAAGCCACGGCAATCGACACTGCAGTTTTATTGATATGAAAATGGAAATGGCAATGGTTCGTCGTAGTCGTCGTCTCCAGAGAACAAGCGGCCATCGTGTAGCGCGTTTTATGGCACCCACAAATTCCGTGCTAATTGTTGCACCGCGAACCCGAACTGGTTTTCGAGCAGCACTCTCCACTCTCCTACGAGATGCTGCATTGCAGCAACCTACTCCTCCTCCTCCTCCTACTGCTCCCTGGCGGAGTAGTTTGCTTCAATTTTGCCTCAATTATTTCGCTTGTTTGTTTATGGAGGAATCTTTAATCTCGGCGCTGCAACGCTGGTGTCGCCGCAGCCTTGACTCCTGCGGCTCCTGGGGCTGCTTCCATGCGTGGCGAAGATCTAGACAACACCTCCGAGCCGGGCCCTGTCCCGGTCCCTGTATCTATGATCGTTCGCGACGGACGAGGTCGGAGCTGGACAAGTGTTTCGAAAAATGGATTATTCATGTTGTCCTTGCCGGGCAATCGGCGGCTTTTGGTCTTTCCCCTGCGCGATCCCTTTTTGTCTCTCTCCTTCTGTTCCTGTTGTCATTGTTATTGAAGTTTCTGGTCTTGTTTTCGAACTGAAGATGGGTGACCGGTGAGGCTCCCTTCAAGATGGAGTCGCCGATTGTGGGATGTGGCCCAGGCCAAGACTTAAAACTAAGGGAATTGAGATTATGCTAGGAAAATTAAATGTTTCTCTTTATATTATGTAGAGAAATACCTTTCACCTTCATTACTATATCCTTTGGGCTCTGTAAATGATTTCCAGGGAGAACTACACAAGCTATTAGTGCCCTCTTGTGTTTTTATATTTATCTATCTGGCTAAAAATATATCTGTATCTCCGCCGCAGCCACATACTATACCTGGCTGGCCCTAATAAATTTATAAAGCTTGATATTATCGCGGCATCGTAATCGTAACTCACGCCCCTCGTCCCGCCCGATCGGGCTTGGGTTCCGGCGATAAAGCGGATGAGAGGCCGTGGCATCATTTGCATTTGAAGGAAACGATGCCACACGCACAGAATACAGATCTCAGAGGAGGAGAGGATGCTTCATAATGATGATGTTCAATTGCAGCTCACGCCGAAAGCATTCCCAGATCGATTCTAATTTCGAGGCGTTAAGGTGTGAAAATACCTACAAGGCAGCAAGTAATGGAAATGGAAATGGAAATGGGACTGGGCATCCCTTCTCCTTCATCTGTCTGTTTGCCTGAGAGACGCTGCCGAGTCTGGCTGTCATTAGCGGTATTCAAATCATAACATAAATACACTTGTCGTCTGTCGAGGGCTCTTCGGGCCCCCAGCTCCCATCTCCATCCCCATTGCCTCCGGAGGATTATGACAGGGCCAAAAGGGGGATCCGTCTGCCTGTGTCTGACTGCCTCTATGCTCAACCGGCAACTTGGTGGCTGCTTTTCATTTTGATAACTTGTCAAAATAGTCTGGAGCCCGCGGCGAGTGGCGTGATAAATGCGGCCAGACAGCGCGGAAGCCGCTGACAAAGTGTTGAATGCCAGGGCCACTTTATTATTGCCATTAAGAAGCAGTATGTGCCGCCCTGCCAGTTGGCTTTACGACCCGCGCTGGGGGTGGCACATGCAACTTTGGTGGCATAAACTTGTCAGGCAACGTCATAAAAACGGTTCGCCCACCCTCGTCCTGGCTGACCCAAAAAAAAACCGAACTTCTATACCAACTCCTCCTGCCAAGGTAATTCCCTTACGGAACAGAGGCACGAAATATTGTTGTAATATTTGCCAAAATTATTTGCCGGTCAGCGGTTATCGATTGGTTCAAGTATGGCCAAGGTCTGCACTGTGAAAAATTATCTACCAGAATCTGCCAGAAGAAACTGTTTGAAAAAAATGTAATTTAATATTTTAGTAAATTATTTACCTTGAGACTTTAGCTTTTAAACTGAACCAAAGAGGGATAATATTTGTTAATTTATATCTCTAATAGTTTTTAATTTATTTAATGTATTTATTATGTGGATCTTAACTTACTTAATTTTCAGTATTTCTGAACTTGCAAGAAGTTATATATATCCCAAAAAGCATATGAAAAGTTGGCAAACATTTTAATGATAAATGTCTTGTTCCTTTAGCTGTAGAAATCTTCCCAAATATTCTTTCAGTGTACTCTCCGGTAGTCCACTGCCCGCCCCGGACCTTCGCCACTTACCTTAATGCCGGACTGATTGGAATATGATATTGGAGTCTGGTTTTATGGCAGTTCGACTCTTATTTATGTACAAGTCGATTTTTGGCCTCTCAACTCTCAGGGGAGGCTACTCCCATCCCCCGTTTTCAGGTTGAACTAATAAAGTCTTCTCGTGCCGCTTCCCTTGCCGCTGCTGCGGGACACGGCTTAATTTGTTAGACGTTATCGCTTCCGCTTAAAGCCAACTGCCGACTGGCGGCGAGTGCAACAAAATGCATTGCTAGTTGCAACTGCAACTTGTTTGGGATTTCGATCAGGGAAGGGAAACGGTGCAGGAACTGGGACTAGGACTGGGGCTAGGCCACGGTCACGTGCAGCGTGCAATAAGCCAAACATATTCGCATGTTGTCAGATCGGCGGTGCCGTGCGTTATCGATACTTGCGTGGCCTTGGCGACCGGCAGGAAAACATTGATATCTGACCGAGGAGTGACTATGTATCTTGTGGGTTAATATGTAGTATGGGGGATAAGGTAAGGGTACAAGATTGTACCCCTTACCTTGTATGTAAGTATTACAAAGTTTTAAGAGAAGTTATAAATAGACAAGTGTGATGAGATAGTTTTCCCTCAAATAATATCATAATATTCAACTGCAAGTGTGTCACCTTGGCGTCTATGAAAGGTGTCAGCTTAAATTATATCCATTTTAGAAATTCACCAACCAACTTACAGCTCAATCGTCAACTGGAAAAGCCACCTATGTATATGGACTCTAGAAGTTTTCCCATCACAAAAGGAGAACACGACGATGGATGGGCGGACATGGAGCTGGCAGAGGGGGAAAAAACAGCGAAAGGAACATAAATTGCATATGAACCTGCAGCCAAGTTGCGGTTGGCTGC